TCCAGCAATAGCCAGAGCAGGGTGTGAACACTGAGGACCTGCTCAGCTCACAGACTGCCAAGCTCAATGTCGCAGAGGGGAAACCCCACCCAACTACTCAGGCACAGACAGATCTGGCAGACATCAACCTGCCAGATTACGGGATCAGATCAGCATTTAGGGAGGGCAAGAATCTACAAGTTCACTGGAAACGAGCAGGCTCTGATTTTCTAGGACCCGGACCAAAGGGTCACAGTGAGAAAAAAGGGAAGGACACGAAGGGAGAGATGTGTGCTGGGGTTGCCCGGTGAGAACGGGAGGCAGGGAGCCGGGCCGCTATGATCAAGACGCGTTGTTTACGTGTATGAAATTGCCAAAGAATAAATAAAGTTCTATTTAAAATCAAATGACAGAAAATCTATCTAATGAAACTATAGCAGAAACCCCCCCCATATATATATATATATATATATATATATATATATATATGGATACACACACACACACACATATATAGCGAGAGAGAAAGAGAAATACATATTCAGATCCAAGAGGCATTCAGAATGCAGACGTGGCCAGAGAAGAGTCTCTCCGTGGCACACTACGTCAAGATATCAACCTAAAAGGCAAACACCTCTGATAACATCGGATCTCTTACTGGCAAACCTAAAAGTCAGGGAAACTTGGAATGGCGTACTCCGGGCCCTGAAAGGAAATAACTACCAACCAAGACTGCCATATCCAGCAAAGCTATCTTTTGAAATTGACAGAGAAAGTCAGTGCAAGAAAAGTACAAACTAAGGCAGGTGGCAGCCACCACGCCAGCCCTGCAGGTGACAGCCCTGGAGAACTGCGCACGCAGAAGACAGCTGCAATCACAGGAAGAGGTCATGGGAGGAACGTCTGCACAAAGGAGCGCAGGAAGAAACCTATCATTTCCAGGATAGCAAACCAGCACACTCCCATACTAACACGTGGAAAAGAAAACAATCCAGCCACCCAGAAAAAACAACCGGTAAAATCATAAAAATTAGCAAGCATCTCTCAGCAATAATTTAAAATGTAAAAACCAAAATTTATAAAGGGATGCAGATGAGTTGACTGGACTGAAGTGAAGCCAGTGGCCAACAAGATGGCTCCATGGGCCAGGGTACTGGCTGCCAAGTGGGCCTAGTAGTTAGAACTGTGGAGCCCACATGGAGGAAGCCCTGGCTTACATAAGCTCTCCTCTCACCATATACGCCACGGTACACACTGCCCCCGCAACAATAATTAGAAAAATGTATCTAAGAAAGTGAAATCTGTTGTCTCTAAGAAAACACATCGGACAGATACCCAGCCTGATAATCACAGAGTGGAAGTCGATGAAGGAAACAGAAGCTGAAAATAAGTCAATGTAGCTATTCATATCTAATAAAGACTTTAAAAAAATCAGAAAAGGTCAATACATATGAATAAAGGTCAATACATATGAACACACACACACCAAACGCTGAGGCTTATGTTAATGGACACGGAGGGTCCGATAGGTCCTGAAACAATAGTAAGTGGGTATGGTGGTTTAAATGAAAACGGCACCCACTGCTCGCGAAGGATTAAGAGGTGTGGTCTTGTTGGGCGTGGTGTGGCACTGGGTTTTGAGGTTTAAAAAGTCATGCGAAGTCTCTCCTCCCTCTCTCCATGTTGTTAGACCGTCTGATCAGTAGATACGAGTGCAGACTGGGAACACTTCATCCAGGCACCTCTGGTGTGCAGTCTGCATGGCTGGCTTACTGTGTAGCTCGACTGGGCGGGCACCTCTGTGATGCCCAAATTCCTGGGAGTGACTCCAGAGTCCGTCTCCAGATCTGGAGGCAAGAGGCACACACTCAGGAAGGTAGTTGAAGTGCCAGGTGAATATCTCTCTCTCTGTCCCTCTCTCCTCCCTCTCTCAATTCTCCCATCCCACTCCCACAGAATGTAATGCTCCAATACCATGCCTGCCTGCTTCCCACCATAATAACCACAAACTAACTAAACCTACAATCAAACCCGATTAGATGCTGTCTTCAAGTCGCCTTGGTCCTGGCGCTCTCTGCCCAGCAGCAAGGTGACTAAGACAGTGGGTGATTAGTGCCCTATGCTCCTCTTTAGACTGTAACAGAGAAACCTCAGGGTCCAAACTCACAATGGACTCAATGGTCTTCACGTATCTACAGACATGGAGTGCCTATAGAACCACATTATAGGCCACAAAATAGCAACTTAAAAATACAAAAAGCAAATTATTTCTATTTTCCCAGCAGACCATAGTGGTGTAAAGCAGAAATCACTGACAAGTGAAACCACACAAACACCTGAGAAACTCAATATACTTCTTTTAAAAAATATTGTATTTAAAAAATTGTGTGTATGTGTATATATGTATATCTTTGTGTGTGGATGTGCACACGAGTATGGGTGCCTCTGAAGGCCAGATGCATTTGATCCTTCTGCAACTGGAGGTAAGGATAGTTATGAGCCACCCAGTGTGGGTGCTGGGAACCCAACCCAGGCCTTCTACAGGATCTTACCAAGCCATCTCTTAGGCCCTTGGAAAGACACCCTCCTGACTGATCAGTGGGTCAATGAAGCAATCAGGGAAGTTGTTTAAAAATTCCTAGAATCAAATGAAAATGAAAGCACACTCTGCTACAACTTTTAGGACACAGTTAGGTCAACTCTAAGAAAAAAACTATAACTAAGTGCTTACATTAAAAAAGTAGCCTAAGGATGAAGTTCAATCAAGGTCCTAGAAAATAAGCCAAACCCAGAGAAGCAAGTGGCCAGAAATAATAAAGATCAGGCCAGAAATTAATAGACTGAAATAGTAATACGTACCATCAAACAAAAGTTCATTCATTGAAAAGACAAGACAAATCCCTACCTGAACTAAGGAAGAGAGAAGAGACCCAAAATACTAAGAGATAGAACAAAAAAAAATGGACTTTTATAGCAAATGCCAATGAATCCAGAGAGAAGACTATAGACTGACTTTGAAAACTTAAACTGCAAAAGCCTGGAAAAATATAGTTAAAAAAAAAAAGGATCGACTCCCAAACACACTAAGACATACAAATCAAGACAATATAAGCAGTGTAAGTCTATAACAAGTATCAAATCAAAGCAATTATAAAGTCTCCCCACAAAGAAAAGCCCCAAGCAGATGATGCACTGTTGAACTCTACAGAACTCACGTTGCACTTCTCAGACTAGCCTACACAAAGCAAAAGGAAAAACACTCCCAAACTCATTTTATGAAGCTAGCAGTACCCTGAACACCAAAAGCCAGATAAGGACCCAACAAAAAAAGAGAAATGTAAATCAGTTTCCCTGATGAACACAGGTAAACATTAGTTTCCTTTCTGTTCCTGTGATATGTTAACACCATGACCAAAAGCAGCTGGCGAAGAAAGGGCTTATTTCATCTTCCGGCTCTCAGGCCACAGCCTTTATCACTGAGGGAAACCACACCAGCTCAACCAGGAGGCAACTAGAGCAGAGACAGAGACCACGGAGGGAGCACTCTGCTTCCTGGCCCGCTTCCCTGGCTTGTGTGTACAGCCGAGGTGTACCTGTTTAGGGATGGTACCACCCATAGTGGGCTGGGCTCTTGGATATTAATCAGCAACCAAGAAAATACCCCCTAGTCAAGTCCATCGACCAATCTGATGGAGGCAATTCCTCAACTAAAGTTCCCTCTTTACAGGTGTGTCAAGCTGACAACCAAGATAGCCATCACAGTGTGGACATCCTTAATAAAACCCATGCAAACCACCTGGTATTTAAAAACACATCAAGGACAAACGCCCTACCAATCTGACATCTCAGGTATGCATCAAGATTGGTGCAACATACGCAGATCAATACATGTTAAATACAACATGTATACTTAAAGGCAGACATCACACAACTGGAGAAATGGCCTTTGACAAAGTTCAAGACTCTTCTTTTCTGATAAATAAACCAGGACAGAAGGAACATAAATAACAAAGGGTGTTTATACAAATCTATACCCAACATTATAAGTAAATATTGAAAAACTGAAAGTATTTCCTTTTGAATCAGGAGCAAGGCAAATGTGCCCATTCTCATCACACTTACTCAATATAATGTTGAAAATCTTGGCTAGAGCAATAAAACAAGATCTCAAGAAATGGGGGGAGGGAGGCTGTGAGGTGGAGCAGCAGAGGATGCTTGTCTTGTTACAAGGCAGGCCACCTGAATCTGACCCTGAACCCACATGGTGCAAGGAGAAAAATCAACTCTAGCAAGCATCCTCTGACTCTCCTCAAGTGTGTTGTGCCCTCCTCACAAGGTAAGTGAATAAATGGGGGTTTTTAAAAAGTAAATAATGAAAGAAAAATAAATAAACAAAATGAGTAACTAAAGGGAAAGATCATCCAAGCATCCTTAAAATGGGAAGGTCTTTGGTTTAGTTCTGAAATATGTGGTTACACTAATTCTAATGCACTCTACTACACTTTGGTAGCTGCCATGATTTAAAAACAACAAACAACAAACAAAAAACTAAAGTTGTGAATTCCACCTGCTTTGTTAGCATATGGCTCAATTTCAATTTCAGAAGTTACAGAGGGCCAGGCACAGCGCCATACTGGTGTAGTCCCAGCGAGGCCAGAGGCTGAGATGGGAGGGTTCTGAGTTCAAGGCCAGCCCAGGGAAATCAGAGAGCAGACAAGAGGACATACACAGATTGAAATCTCCTTATGGAAATTCAATAGAACATCTTTAGTAAGAGGTAATCAATATTAACACAGATTTGGTATATTTTCAGTCAAAAGTAATGAAACATGTTGTGATTCTACACATTAAATGGCCCCGAATTAAGAGATTAATAACAGGGAAAATTATTTTTTCACATATAACATATTGACCAATGTAGTGTTTTTAGAAAACCAAAGTAAATGTAAACAATTCAAATAAGTGAAACAACTTCATGAACTATTTCCCATGACAAAAAAGAAGAGATGCTTCACATTAGAGGCATTATAATTCTTGAAGTTTTTTTATTTAGTGATTTCTGGTAAGGAGATTATACCATAGGAAAGTCATTTCACTGGCAGTGAGGTATGTATATACTCTACCAAAATACTCCTTCGTTTTAACTGTTTTTTAACTTTATTTACAAATGAAGAAAAGTATCAATGCATATCCTTGGTTCACCTATATTAGCAACTACATGAAATGACATGGAATGGGTGCTTGCATACAAACTCTTGTTTGTAAAGGATGCTAATTTTGGATTAAAGGAACTAAGTTGTTTTTGGAAAGAGTTTAAGAAAGTCATCACAACTTATCATGACCAAGACACCTGCACCATTATTTTCCATTCCTCACAGCACATTTATTTCAGTAATTCCATTATGTCGGTCCTTAGCATGAGCATAGTGTTACACAATTTTCATACATATAATCACATCCAAAACAAGCTCTAAGATTGAAATTGTAAACATTCTCATCATATGTAGAAATATTTTGTGTATTAATAGTTTTGCTAACTGATCAAATTTGGAAGTGAATATAAATGAGAAAGCCTATCTAAATCGTGTAGTGAGCCTGGTTTATTAATTACATTTCTACAATGTTAAATAAAGACAACCCTGTCCTGTAAGCATGTCAAACTGTACGTAAAACGTTACAAAGAAACAAATCTGTTAACAAAAGTATGTCTTGCAATAAAGAACATTAGATTTTTAAAATCTATTATGATACAAAAATGGAAAGGGTAAATAGCATCTTTGTTGACAAAGTAGGAGGTAGCATGGATGCACCACTTCATTGTCTGAGAAATGCAACTGGGGTAAAGAACACTTCCTTACCACAAATAATTTCCAGGACTATGTACATATTTCTTTTAGAAATACTTGTTTAAACAAATCTCCCTCCGACTTTTTAGTATAAAAAAAAACCGTTCCATGTGATTTAAAAAAACACTTACACATCTACTAGATAGATAGTACTCTGCCCTATTTGGGTGAACAGTCTCAAACTATGAAGTACATGATATTTAATGCCCTAAGTTGAGTGAATTTAGTTAGCAGTTCCTGGTATTATACAAAACACTAAATACATACCAACAAAATATAATATCTTAGTTTTCTATGTAAGTGTGGGGAAGAAACAGAGTCTTGATTCTGATAACACTGCAGAAAACATAATCTTTCAGTAAGTCTGTCTGTAAATTCATGTGCAACATTTTACAAATGGCTCTCAGATGTAAGACCTTTAATTGAGTAAACTCAGCCAACAAAATTCAGTAAACCTTAAGAACACATTTCCACCCTATATAAAATATAGACTACTTACTGTCTTAAGTATTCAGTTTGCTCTGATGTAATTCACATTCCCCCATTTTTCCTACTTTAGTATTTATAAATGGATGTAGCTTACAAAAAAGAAAAAAGAAAAAAAAAGACAAAGAATTTTAAATTTACATCCAATTAAATTTGCTCTTTAAAAGGATTCCTGGTTCTATGAAGCTGCTTCTGCCATTAGTAAAGAAAATGAAGTTTCTGTAATCGAGGCAGGCTTTTTAAGTAGTGACGTGACTTCCACCATGCCGGCTCCAGTCCGTGGGAGATTAGCGTTCACAATGTGTCGTTGTAAATGCTTAATCCAGTCTTCCTGAACAGACAGTGGTCCCCGAAAGACTAGGCCACAAAACCTGCAAGAGAAGAAGTGGATAAGAGTACTTCTCTTAATATAACTAATTCTATTTAAAACTAATTCACATAAAGCCAATACTGTAAGAAATAAATCTCACCATACACTACATAGAGCACTTGTCTAATAAGTCAGTGGTTCTCAACCTGTGGGTCACAACTAGTTGAGGGTCGGACAACCCTCTCACAGGGGTCACCTAAGACCATCCTGCATATCAGTTATTTACATTACAATTCATAACAGTAGCAAAATTACAGTTATGAAGCAGCAATGAAAATAATTTTATGGTTGGGGGTCAGCACAACATAAGGAACTGTTATTAGAGGGTCGCAGAATTAGGAAGGTTGAGAAGTCACTGGTTTAAATTAAGTTGAATAAATTTACACCTTTGTAGCTTGAGTTTTCCTGCCTGACCCACAGTCAGGACAAATCTCTCACCTGCCAGTCCCACAGCCGCTCAGACCCGACCAAGTAAACACAGAGACTTATACTGGTTACAAACTGTATGGCCGTGGCAGGATTCTTGCTAACTGTTCTTACAGCTTAAATTAATCCATTTCCATTAATCTATACCTTGCCACATGGCTCGTGGCTTACCGGTATCTTCACATTCTGTTTCTCATCGTGGCGGCTGGCAGCGTCTCTCTCTCTCAGTCTTCCACTTCCTAGCTTTATTCTCCTCCTTGTCCCGCCTACACTTCCTGCCTAGCCAATGGCCAATCAGTGTTTTATTTATTGACTAATTAGCAACACATTTGCCATACAGAACATTCCACAGCACACCTTTATTAATGGATTTAGTAAATGCTCTTAATTTTTGTAGGGGTTGCAATATTATTTGATTTAAAATTAACTAAATAGGCTTCTTTACAAAAAAAAAAATCTATGTGTCTGGATATTTTGCCTGCCTCTACATCTGTGCCCCATGTGCATAGGCCTGGTATCTCTGGAGGCCAGAAAAGGGTTGTAGGATGCCGAGACTGGAACTGCAAGCCATCTTATGGGTGCCGGGAATCAAGCCTGGGTCCTCTGGAAGAGTAGGCAGTGCTCTTAGCTGCTGAGCCACTTCTCCTGTCTCACTAAATACTTTGATACCATCTAAATTCATTCACAAGAATTATTCCAAAGTGTGTATCTCATCAAAGACCCTTCTCCAGTTCAGAAGTACACTGTGTCTATGCACTTATCTGTGAGGGGGCATGGAGGGAGGTGTGTTATGGAGGAAAAGAAAATGTGTTGGTGCTGTGAATGATTGATTAATAAATAAAACACTGATTGGCCAGTAGCCAGGCAGAAAGTATAGGTGGGACAAGGAGAGGAGAATTCTGGGAAGTGGAAGGCTGAGTCAGAGAGACGCTGCCAGCCGCCACTATGAAAAGCGAGATGTAAGATACTGGTAAGCCATGAGCCACGTGGCAAGCTACAGTTTAATAGAAATGGGTTCATTTAAGATAGAAGAATTAGATAGCAAGAAGCCTGCCACGGCCATACAGTTTGTAAGCAATATACGTCTCTGTGTTTACTTGGTTGGGTCTGAGCGGCTGTGGGACTGGCGAGTGAGAGAGATTTGTCCTGACCATGGGCCAGGCAGGAAAACTCCAGCTACATGTTGTTAATAAGCAGGAACTTAAAGACCGTAGAAACAATCCAAACTAAATTGACCAAATATATAAAGCACAATTAATACTCCACTTCTATAAGTTACAGTATAATACAGGCATTTGACTAACAAACAAACCCTGCCTTACTAATTGTTGAAGCAAACATAAGTATATGATGAATTAAGATTCTAAGTCTGTCTCTGCAAACTCATTTACAACTCTATTGTTGAGTATGCCACAAAATAAAAATGCCAACTAAAATAGCTACTGTGTCTCAAAGGTAACCTAAAACAGGGATGATGTCTGGCAACAGAGGCATCTACCTGCATCGGAGAATGTAAACCTCGTCAGCACCATGAGGTAATGTTAGCATTTTCTTCTTGCTTCCAGATCTTGACCTTGATTTCTTTTGCTTACAATCTAAAGCTAAAAAAAAGGAAGAGAAAGACTTAACATTCCTCATATATTTAAAGCATACCCACCTAACAGAGGTCATGTGATCTACACCACATCAGAGAAGTCTGTGTCCAGCTCCCTGTTTACAGGGCATGCACTAATTTGCAGGGACCCACTTCTGTGGCGGCATCTTATCTGCGCATGCGTTCTGTGCCGCTGTTTTCCCATGCAGGTCTCCTCCACTCATGCAGAATGGAGGACAATGGCTAAGGAACCAGGAGCTCAGCTGGTCAATAATTACAATAATGGGAATCTTTACTTTTGATCACATATAATTTTAAACATCCTATTTCCAGGAAAACAGCAACTTTTAAATTGTATTCAATTAAATTTGTATTTGATTACTGCTCTATTAAATAAATCTAGCAAACTGAGCAATGGAATATCAACAATGTAATACAAAGCTCAATGAAAAGTCAATTTCCGCTGATATTCAAGAGCAAGCATAGATCAGTTTTCACTTTTAAACTCAACCTATATTACATGTACAATCATGCAAACATCTGAGTTTATTAGAAAAAACTATAAACTATATTATCTAAGTTCACAACTGGATCCAGTGTTTGATGCCAACTATTCTTTACAGTTTTACATTTTCTCCAGTAGTTTATTTTTAAAATGTGATTTTAAAAAAAATACTTTTTTAAGGGTAGATGAAATATTTTAGTGCTGGTTTTGGCATTTTTTTTCCCATTACTTAACCTTCCCTTTAATTATTTATTTCAAAAGTATGAGTCAATGAAAGAAAAGATTTTTATGGGTGAACTAGACAGGAGGCAATGCTCTGGAGTCCTTGGACAGAGCTACAGCATTCCTTGGACAAAGGGAGGACGGTAGGTGTGGGTGCTGCGTGTGAAGCAGCAGGAAGAGAAAGAGCTCATCACAGGGCCCAAGTGTAACTCAAGAACCACCCAGATGGCCTTCATTCACTCTTCTAAGGACGAGAGCAGGTGTCCATCACAGAACAGAGGTCCCGGCTCTCCCAGCAGCAGAAGTGTACACAGTCAACTGAATCCGCGGGGACCTAAGGCTCAGTCACCACTCCCAGCTTTTTGTCACTTGTCTATTGAAAGGTCAAATCTAAGACTCAAAGGTTTTTTTTTTTATTATTATTTATTAAGACAAGAGACCAATAAGAAAAGAACTACTAGAAGTCTGAAGAATAGCTAAGTAACCCAGCTCTACAAAATTCTTTTAAGGTTCTCACTGGTATTTCAATCAAGAGCCTAGTACACAGCAGGGACTCAACAAATGCTTCTGGAGCAGAAATAAGGAAAACTCAAAGTTTAACCATCGGCATTCAGATGCCGTGTGAATGGAAATCTGTTCTAGCACGATGCAATACGGGTACCACTCCTTCCTAACACCACCGTACCGTCTGTTTAAAGACTGCTGCAACCACAGGTTCTGATTACCTTTGGTACGTACAACAGAGCAGTCTAACAACGTAGAAACGAGGTGCTTCACACCTAGTGTACTTCTTTTCCACAGCTGCTGCAGTGAGCAATTTAAAGTTTAAGTCACTTTTAAGTGACCTGCACTCTGGAAAGAGAATTCAGAGAACTACTAGCCATCAGTTACTCCACCTATGAGACACATGATGTCTGCCTCTGTGATACAGGACACAGCAAGGTTTAGCATTAAATTACAGTTACAATCTTTCTTTGAAGGGCTTGCCACACTATATTCAAAAATCCTTGTAGAATGCACATAAATTACTGTAGGACACAAACAGAATGCGTTATAATGACCCTTACAAACCATCTTCAGAGTGCTACTGGTAGCAAATGGTCAAGGAAGTCACGGAATGGGTCACACGCTACCAAACTTAGTTACGCGGACACGCTGTGGGATCTGGAGGACGCAACTCAACAGCCAGCATTGGTAAGATCAGAAGAGTTTGCTTGAATGAAGAAGAACAGTATTTTCTGAATTTTGATGCTGTGTTCTATGAATGATATAACATCTAAAATTGTAAATGAAGCCATCAAAATTTCAGCATTAATATTTGGAGGTGGCAAGACATCAGAAAATAGGGCCACCATCATTGTGCAGCTGGGAATTTCTGCTGGCTACGTTTCTAAGTCAGGTTATAGAAGTTCTTGCACTGAGAATCCTTAGAAGTCTATTCCTAAGACTAAGATATTTCAAATCTCACATCCCTGATAATAAAACCTGAACGTCTACATGTCTTAACATCTTATTTTAAAATGCCTTGGTTCCCAACACACTGTTTAGTAGGTGAAATGAATACACTGAGTAACAAGTTTTTTTGTTTTTAATACTAGCATCCAACCCACCCCTGTAATGCAGTCAACACATCTAGAAATTTATAAAAACTGAGTAACATAAAAACATGTACAAGGAAGACATTCTCATGGCCCTTGCTACATCAAAGACAACATAAATTGTTCCATGCACTGCAAAGGACACTGTACAAACATGTCTGTCCTAGAGCATTCCAGACCAACCATTTTCAGTATTTCAGGTCTAACACTGTGTCTTGGTCCCCCGTTTCTGTCTCTAGCTATACTGCTGCTGTAGGACAGAAGCAGGCCTGGGGACTCAGGCCCTCACATGCCGCTCAGAATGCAGAAAATGTGGAGGGAACCAGAGTCTTCCAAAAGATTGGTTAGAAATCTTTTTAACTCAAGTTACCCGAGTTTATGGAAGACTTCACCTGCTACTGCAAAATTACAAAGACAATGGACTGAGCTGCAAGGTCATACATAGATGCTTGACAATCTAACTTTTAGTAAAACATCCGTGTTTTACTAAATATGGAAAAAACTCAAAAGCCCCCACAGTGTTATGCTATGAAACAGTCAGGTAACAGGTAACCTGGTAACAACAGGTAACAACAAGCACGGCATTAGATGACACACACATCCAAAGACAAGTCTGTTTTCTCAACAATCATTTCATTTTATACACAGAAAGAAAAAAAAAGAAGTTACTTTCGACACTAATGTGATTATATAAAATCTTCTGCTCTTTCCATTGTCCTCCTCATTGTATACAATAATTGTTTCTAAGAAATTTTCTTTTTTTTCTTCATTATATAAATGACTTCAGAGGAAGAGGATTTATTTGGTGTTACCTGAAGCTCCTGTGACCAAGAAGTACACTGTGACTAAATTAATATTCACCACTAACATTCTGAATTGCTCTCAATCATCCCTGCCCAGTGACTTAAGCGCTCTACTTCATCTGCTTCTTCTTTAGCTGACTGCTGGTATACATCTATGTTTCTTAGTGTGCTGTCTGCTGCTGGAACAGAAAACCAGGACTGGGTGAATGGAAATCACCTAAGTGTATAGTTCACAGTCCTGAGGACTGAGTGTGGCACCCATTTCTGGTGAGGCCTCCTTGTTCAGCCATAACACGGCAGGGAGACGGGCATGCGCACCTGTGCTAACCAACCCATCCTCTCATGAGGACAGAGCCTTGCAGCTTCCAGTCATCGCCTAAGACAGACATTCTCATTTCAAAAGAGAAGAAACAAGAAACTTGTCCTACGTAAGTCCAAAAGTTAGTAAGAAAAACAGTAAGCCTTACTGCCCCACATGGGGCAGTAAGGACACACTGGAGAGTCTGGACAGCCCAGTCCTACAGTTCTGCTTGACTCCAGGCACACTTATGCTCTGTAGTTGTCCCAGGCTCATGTCACATGCTGGTGCTCCCACAGACCCAGGGCCTTAGAGGATTCCGACTGTAACAGCCCTACACCTGCCTGGTGTAGGTGCTCTGCAGCAGTTTGGCTCCTGACCCCCCTTGCTCCTGGGTGCTGCCCCAGTGGGGACTCACTGGTCAGCCCCATGGAAGCCATGCTCCTGCAGTTCTTACGTTCTGGGGGGCTTGAAGATTTAATGTCACTTAGAAACAGCAAAGGCTTCCCACGTGTATCTTCTGAAGTGGTGGGTCTATTAGACCACTGAAGCCAAAGCTGCCACAGGCCCACAAGCCCTCAGTCTTTAACCATCCTGTAAAACAACAGCATCAAGCTTCTTCATAGCTAACACTCTTTCTAGCAAAGGGTCTCTTGACACATTTAGGATTCTCCCAAACACACTTCCTCGCCACCCTGCTGCACTCTACTTATAATATACTGTAGCTTCAGACGGCGGCTGAGGTGGACACTCAGCAGCCTGATGCTTTGCTGTCAGGAAATGTTAGGCACCAGATAGCCTACTCCTTCTCTGTGTCCACACGATTCTGCCCAATTCTTCACAACACTATAACAAGGATGACCTTTACACTTCAGTTTCCAATACCTTGTTCCTCATTTTTGTCTGAGAGTTCAACAGAATGGCCTTTTCTGTCCATATTTCTACCAATATTCCAGTCACAACACTTAAGGAATCTACAGCTTTCTTCTAACCCCGCACCAGAATCACTCAATGTTCCACACGTAACAACGCAAGCTTTTCTTTTGTAGCACGCTCACCTAACTCTCCCAGCCTCCGCCCATCATGGAGCTTCAGAGGGGTTTCCACATTTTCAGGTATTCCTAACAACAGTCCCACTTCTTGGCAACAACTTAACTGTCCAAATAAACACACTGTAATTCTGGAGGTGGAAGTCCGCTCACGCCTGGTGAGGACCTTTGTTTTAGATTGCACCATGGTACCAGAACAAGTGAGCACATTGTGTGTGAGTCGGGGGTGGGGAGTCAGAGAAAACTGGACAAGCCATTCTTCCTGGAGAAACCCTGCCCTTCAGAAGCAAACCTCCTCCCTCCATTAATAGAGGCCTGCATGATGGTACAGCCTTGATGGCCTGCTTAGGCCATCTTAAAGACCTCTTAAAGTTCCACCTCTTAATATGGTTACAATAGTAATTCAATTTCAGCCCAAGTTTCAGAGAGGAATCTTCACACCATACAGCCCTGGGATGCACTGAAGCACAGTGGCCACACGATACAGACCCCAAACAGAAGCATGTCATGCCCCACCAGAAGGAAGAAAATG